GCACTTCGCACCCCGAAATAGTCCCACTTCCACGCCGGGACCTTATTAGGGAGTTCGTGTAAGAGCTTGAAGCCCGGGCGAGGAGACAGGTAGTATGCCCGCCTACGCCCAGGAAGGGGACCCGCAGTCATGCCTGATTTGACAGGACACCGCTATATAAGGACTCCAACCCCCAAAGGCAAGGGGAGAGAATGAAAAAATGGAGGTAATCCCTACTCTCTAACTCTCTCATTCCTCTAATCCCCGGAGCTTCTCTTCTCCTTCCGTTTCAGGTTCCTGCCACTCAGTTCAGAGGCAAGATCGTTGACAGCTAAGATCGGCCGGATTGTGCATCATCAATTATTACATCCTTTGGCATTTCAAGCTATTAACTTCATATTACCATGCAAATATGGAAAGTAAACCGTAAATATACAGATAAATCAACTTCAAATTTTAGGTAAGATAGAACACAAACTTATTTGAAAGCAAGCTGATTCTAGTGAACAAATTGCTTGCACTTGAACTAGATTTATAATGTTGTAGCGTTAGATTAATTCCGTTAGTTTTGCTTTTCAATGATCTTGTGTTTTGGGAAGTAGATCTATAGATTTTTCTCAATATTAATTCTGCTAGTTTTATTTTTCAATTAATTGCTGGTATTTTTCATTATTATTTAGTAATTTTTGCAATAAAATACTATTAATAAAACAAGTTCTGAATTTTAGATTTTTATTATTTTTTATCATTTTAATGAGTTCATTATGCATAATAAAGGTCTCAACTCATAAGTTATCTGATAATATTATTAAAACTATAAATTAATATTTTTATATTTAAATTTCTTATTTTTATTAGCATTTATTAAGTTTGATTTTTAAGTGGAATTGAAACACATTTTTAATATTTACTAAGTTTTTTTTAATATTTATTTTAAGTGAAAATTTAGTGGATTTTTAAATTAATAATTTTTTGGTTGTTTAACCTTAACCTATTTATATTATATTATTTTAGGGAAAATTCTCGATTAGTACCCTGTACTTTGGGCTTAGTGCCATTTTGGTCCCCGAACTTTAAAATGCGACAATTCAGTACTCRGACTTTTAAARCGTGACAATCTAGTACATGTCGTTAACTAGTTGTTGACCAGCCATTAAGTGGCATTTGAAAAAGACATAAATGCCCTTCAAGTGTCATCTACTTTTCTTTATCAACCACCCAAACATTAATAGTCCCAAATCTTTGCCTTTTCCATTCAAGAAAGTTGGGGTCACGTTTGAGTGGGGCATTCTRGTGACCCCAACTTTCTTCAACAGAAGAGGCAAGGATTTGAGACTGTTAATTTTTAATTAACGTTTGGATGGTTGATAAAGAAAATTAGATGACACTCGAAGGGCATTTGTGTCATTTTCAAATGCCACTTAACAGCTAGTTAACAATAGATACTGAATTGTCATGTTTTGAAAGCTTAGGTACTAAATTGTCTTATTTTAAAGTTTGGGGACCAAAGTAGCACTAGGCCGAAAGTACAGGATACTAATAAGGAATTTTCCCTTTATTTTATTATTATTATTCTCTCTCTCTCTTAAATGTAATAATAAATGCATTAAAGTAAGAGGCGTTGTAAAACATAAAGGTCTCTCTCCCTCTCTCTATCTCTCTCTTAATGTAATAATAACATACATTAAAATAAGAGGCTTTGCAAAACCCAAATCTCTCTCTCTCTCTCTCTCTCTCTCTCTTTCTCTCTTTCTCCATGTACAAATTTATTGATCTAATCGAAACAAACAATGATTACTTTTTTATATTTTTAAAACAAAAAAAAATATAAAAAATGAAGAAGATAGATAAATAGCTTCTCTTAAAGGAGAGGGCCGCTAATATGGAAAGACCAATTTTATTATATATATTAGCGGGGACCCGTGCAATGCACATGAAAATCTGAAAGATTTAATAGTTTTATTTACTATTAATTAATATTAAATTAATAATCAAAATTTGTTGTTGATTAACTAAAAGTATTCAAAGTTATTGTTAATATCTAAATTTTTAATAATTTTATTTTTCATTTAATGTTGATTTATAGAAAACAATTATTGTTAATTTAATATGAACAAATATTTTTTAATAAATTTAATTTTATTAATAATTTGTAGTAATTTTAATAATTGTTATTATTTTTAAATGAAGTTTTGATTAACTTTAAATAAATAAAAATAATTACAAAAGTTAACAATTTTATTAATTGCACTAACAATTAACAATTATATAGGAATGACAATGGGGTTGGTTTAGGTTTTTCAGAATTTTCAGAATTTTCAGAATTTTAATTAATTTTTGCATATGAGGATGTTTTTAATATTTTCAGCATTTATTTTTGCATATTAATCACTACAAAATTAATGTGCATTTGCTTTCAGTAAAAATAAATTAACTAACTAAATACATACCGTAGTTAATAAAAAATATAGCTAATTTTCAATATTTTTCAATAATTTATAGCTTGGGTATTTTTTAATACATTAATAATAAAATACTATTAATTGCACTTTTTAATTATTTTGGTATATACCCTTGTTAATATAAAATATTGTTAATTTTTAATATTTTTAATTATTTTTAATATTTTAACTATGTTTAGGTTTTTCAGAATTTTCTGGATATTTAATTAATTGTTGGTATTTTTTCATTATTATTTAGTAATTTTTGCGTATGAGTAATTTATGTAATAAAATACTATTAATAAAATATGTTCTGCATTTTAAAATTTCATTAATTTTATCATTTTTAATGAGTTCATTATGCACAATAAAGGTCTCAACTCATAAAAATTATTAATTAATTAAAAATGCATTAATACAAAGTTATCTAATAATATTATTAAAACTATAAATTAATACTTTTATATTTGAATTTCTTATTTTTAATTAATTATTGCTATTTTTCATTATTATTCATTAATTTTTGCAATAAAATACTGTTAATTAAATGGGTTATGCATTTTAAATTTTCATTAATTTTTATCACTTTTAATGAGTTCATTATGCACATGATAAAGGTCTCAACTCATATGTTCTATAATAATATTATTAAAACTATCGATTAATATTTTGATATTTAAATTTCTTATTTTTATTAGCATTTATTGAGTTTAATTTTTAAGTGGAATTGAAACACATTTTTAATATTTATGAAAGTTTATTGGATTTTTAAATTAATAATATTTTGATTGTTTAACGTCAACCTATTTATATTATTTTATTTTTATTATTCTCTCTTTTTATAATAATAACATGCATTAAAATAAGAGGCCAAAAACCCAAAGGTCTCTCTCTTAAATGTTTTTCTAAATGTAATAGTAACATGCATTAAAATAAGAGCCTTTGAAAAACCCAAAGATCTTTTTTTAATAGTTTACAACTTTATTAATCTTATCAAAATAAACAATGATTACTAATTTTAGATTTTTAAAATAAAAGAAAATAAGAAAAAGTATAAAAATAGAAAAATAATTTATCTTAAAGGAGAGACATGCTGACATGGACCGTCCAATTTTAATATATATAATATTTACCTAAAAATTATTTTTATCATTACATACTTGAATATTAAAATTGTATTTTCTATACTTTGAACCGTATTAAAGAACAATACTAAAATAAAATTAATAAATCCAAAACGATAAATTAATAATTATTTTTTAAAATGTCTTTTTTTTAGTTAGATGATCATTTGATGATTTTTTTTTTGGTAATCGATTGTAAGGTTGGCAGATTGTGCACGATGAGACGGAGGTAGGCATCTATCTAGGGTTACTAGATGATTCTTAAAATCTAGCAAATTATGCGAATATTCTGCTACTCGTGATCTTTTTACTACCGGCGCACTTTAGTAACACTCCTCAATTCTCAACAGGAAAAGAAAACCAAAAAGCTTAAAGGAAAGTCAACATGTGTCGTGTGATCACCGAATGCCATACTTGTCCCCACCCAAGCCATGCAATCCTACTGCTCTGCTAATTTATTGTGATTGTGGCAAAAATGATCGTCCTATTGGAATCGCATAGGACGGAAATAGGAGTTTTACTTTGTATGTATGCTCAATTGCCACGTAGCACATTTATGAACTCAGGGTAAAAATTTCTCAATCCGACGGTTGAAAAGCTCTTTCTATTGGAATCGCATAGGACGGAAGTAGAAGCTTAATTTTTATGTATGTTTTGTTGCCACGTGGCTAATTTAGGACTCATGATAAGAATTCAATCTGATGGTTGAAAATATCAACAAACTCCACATTGAAGTTTTAATGTGTGGGAATCCACGTGGCAACCACCCAAAACCGTACGAGAAAGTATTGTTATGGGACACTTGCGTAGGAAAACATTTTCCTATTATTTTATGCAAAAAGGGGAAAAAGTGGGAGAAGGGAGGAAAAAAAGAAGAAAAAGAGAAAAAAGAAAGAGTGGGGAAGACAAAAGAATCGAGAGTCGGCGCTGATGTCTCTGCCGACCACCAATCATCACGTCTTTGTCACCACCGCCAAAGCAACATTAAGCGTTTCTTCCTTTTCTCCCTCTCTCTCTCACAAACTTCAATAAAATTTCTTCTCTTATTTATTTTTCTTTCTTTAGTTCTGTTAATTTTTTCTTGATCGGTTCTTCCGTGTATTTTTATCAAACGGAAGAGACCCATGATAGTAATAGAGTTTAGATTTGCTGTGATTTAGGAATTTGTTCTGGTTTTTGGCCTAATTTGGTGTTCGTTGAGGTTTATTTTTTTTGGGTCTTATCTGGTTTTCATGTTGGGATCTTGAATTTGCTGGGGTAAGTTATGCGAGGGATGGCAGAGCAACAACAGGTGGTTGTTATTGAGAGGATTGACGATGGCGAGAAAGAGAAGAAGAAGAAGCGTCGATCTCGACGTTCCAAACAGAACCCTGTTGTTTCAGGTTATATATATATTTTTTTACTTTGTTATTTTTTAGTTGAATCTCTAGTAGTATTTCTTTTTGTTTAGTTTTACTGTGAACTGGGTGTTGGAATCAGAGTAGGTCTGTTACCCTAAAAAAGATGATTTTTTTTTTTCTTCCGAGTCGTATATTCTAGTGTGATGCAATGCGAATAGTCGAACGCGGAAACTGTGGTTATATTCTTGTTATGTTTTTGTTCCCGATGGGAATAAGTAACTATTTCTTTGTTCTCATTCATCATTTCTAATATGTGAACTTATTATCAATTCTATGACATTTATATACAACTAAAGATTTGAAAGCACATTTAACTCACTGGGGCAGATGTTAAATAATAACTATCACATTTTGGTTTCAAAATCCTTTGCTCAACTTACTAAGCTCATAACCATGGGTGCTGAAAGTGTGGTTTACTAGAAAACAGTTTTTTCTTTTTAAATCAATATTCATCTCAGAAGCTACAATTGCATTAACATGGTAGTGGGGTTTGTTTATTAATTTAATGATTTTGCTTTTTTTTGTTTTTTTTTTT